ATATATATAGATATATATAGATATATATATGAACATTAGCAAAAAAATAAAGAAGATATGCTTAGAATTTAACACATAAAACAATTAGATAGGAAAGATTAAGAAATATGATAAAACACTAAGATACAGACATCATTTTAAAATATATGAACAAAACAACTCAATAAACTCAAGGAAAAATAACCAAGTGAATAAAAAACTACACTGGAGAGGTTGGAGGGAGAAAAACAAAAGGGTGGAAATGATACTATTTTTTTATTTCTATTTTTAAAAAAAAGGACACTTTTGGCCACAATGTCTCAGAGACTCAGAAATAAGAGCAAAATGCAACTATTCTACTAACTGCCTGTAGATCATGTTAGTGGCTACGCATTCTGTTCAAAGCAGTTTTAAGGAATCAGAAGACGGCCTAAGCACACATACAGTCCCTATGCATGGGATGCTTCCTAAAGACAGCTCAAATCTAAAAAGCAGTCACTATGTGACTGACACTAACTTGATAAAACAAAACACATGGAAGGAACAAGGTAGGTGAACAGAATGGAGAGCAGTGCAAGACCCTTCGTAATCTCTAAGTAGAAGGCACTCAATAAAGAGCACCTCGAAGAATGAACAAAGGAAGGTGCAGATTCTCTGGGTACAATTTGTCTGACTCATGCTCTAAGACTGTTACTATCCAGCTCACTTTCCAAAGGAAGGCATTTATCAAATTCTCAAAATATAAGGCCCATACATAAATTTAAGAACTGATTTATACTTTTTGAAACTTGCCTACAATGAAAACTTTTTTTCTGGGCCACAAAGATGGCACAACAGGTACAGGTACTTGCTGCTAAGTATGACAACCTGAATTGGGTTCTTGGGACCAACATGGGGAAATGAGAGAACCAACTTACTTACTTACTTACTTAAGATTTCTGCCTCCCATTTCCCTCCTCCTTCCCCGATCAAGTCCCCTTCCCTTATCAGCCCTAAGAGCAATCAGGGTTCCCTGACCTGTGGAAAGTCCAAGGACCAATGGGGATGTTCTATCGGGAACTCACCAAGGCCAGCTGGCCTGGGTCTGAAAAAGCCTGGGATAAAACCGGACTCGCTGAACATAGTGAACAATGAGGACTACTGAGAACTCAAGAACAATGGCAATGGGTTTTTGATCCTACTGCACGTACTGGCTTTGGGGGAGCCTAGGCAGTTTGGATGCTCACCTTACTAGACATGAGAGAACCAATTTTTAAAAGCTGTTCTCAGACTGCTATGCATCCACCTATCAATCTGCCTACCAAAACAGACAAGACACATATGCAAGGACAAAATGTTAAAAAAACTATTTAATGTTCTTTTTCCCCTAATTTCAAAGTAAGTTTTCAGAAAACTAAAAATTCATCAGAAGAAAGTAGTACCATAAACATATGTACTTTAAATCAGGGGAAAAATTTTTTAAAACTAAAGGAAAAAAACATTTAAGACTTACCACTTATTGTTTCTATAAGCATGTGGATTGACTATGTCTCTGATGAAACTATAGTAATGCCCACCATCTGCTGTTCCTGTATGAACGGTCACTCCAATTAAGTCATACTCATAGCTTTCTGTGTCTTTGGAATGGTCGTTGACTTCTTTAAAACCTAATTTACATAAAATAATGGAAGTTATTTTAAAAACACACAACAATATCATTTTAAGATTACTTCTTACAAGGTATTATGTATAGAAAAAAGCATACAAACTTTATATATAAAATAGGCATATTAAAAACTACTTGCAAGGCCACAGCCTGTTACTGCTTCAAGTAACATACTATACAAATAACTTTTGAAAAAATGTGATATGTAAACTATGTGTTTAACTTAACTAGCCCTTTAAAATAGTATTGCCTGCTTTTTAAAAATTTTTATTTTAAAAAACAGAGAAAACAACAACAACAACAAAATCCCAAGACCTAAAAAGAGCTCAGTCTTTTAGTCTCCCGCCACTGTGTTGATACATATTAGGAACTTGGTGTCCACAGAAATAAAGGCATCACTCTAAACAACTTTAAAGTCAAAAGGTAACAGAAGATACTAAGCAAAAAGATTACAATTGATCTGAGAAGTCTAGATATCTATATCCCCCCTCGCCCTCCCTCACACACAAAAGAAAAACTAAATATAGGACCAAAGCAGAGAATATTTGCTTCAGTGCAGTCTAAATCAGAAAGCAAACTGCAGTAAAGAGAAACTGGCCACAGTGTTAAATCAGTGGCGGAGAAGCCTTACTATGCTCATGTAGGCAATGCTAAGACTGGCTAAGTGAGTAAATATATTACACTGTCTCTACCAAAATTTTCCTTCCTGGGATAGAAAGAGAGCCTGCTTTTCCAGAAGACCTGGTTGAATTCCCAATACCAAAAGCATGGATTATAAACATCCATAACTCCAGTTGCAAGGAATCTGATGCCTTCTTCTGGCTTCTGTAGGTACTGTATGTATATAGTAAACAGACATACATGCAGACAGAACACCCATATATATATAAAAAATCCTTTTCAATGAAAATTTTTTCTGCCAGGCGTTGGTGGTGCATGCATTTAATCTCTGCACTTGAGAGGCAGAGGCAAGTGGATCTCTGAGTTCGAGGCCAGCCTGGTCTACAGAGAAAGAGTTCCAGGACAGGAACCTAAAAGCTATAGAGAAACCCTGTCTAAAAAAGAAAAAACGGGGGGGAAAAAGTCCTAAGAATATACTTAGAAAAAAATTTTTTCTTATATTTCCTAAATGTTGAGAATCAGGTAACTGACTTTAACACTGATGGGAGTTTCCCATTCACACAATTAACATTAATGACATTTTCTCCATTCAAACAATTTCCCTTATTAATTTGGTGATTAATTTTGGTAGAGACTTAACAATAAACAGAGAACTGAGAAAAATGAACTTACCATCTTTTCTGTCACTCTTTCCCATTAGAAAATCTTCTGTGTATGGTGTCATATCCAAACGTAAAGGGAAGGAAAAGTGTGTATTCACTTTCTCTTTCATCATTGTGACCATATTAAATGTGTATCTCATAGTATTGAAACTCAGTATACGAGGTAATTTCTTAAAACATGCCCTGAGAAGTGGGGGGAGAGAAACAAACTTGTTAAATACACTATTTCAAAAATATCTTACTCTATTTATATTTGTGCTACATTTATTTTAATATTCAACTTAAAGTAATAATATTCTAAGTCACATAATTTGTGTGTGTTGGGGTTGCTTACCCATTCAGGCATCTGTGGGAGGCAAGGGGTCGATGTTGGGTGTCATCTATTGTTCTCAATTCTATTTCTTTTATAGTTCAAATATCTTAGTTTGTGTACATATTGCACACTCTTATTTATCTGTGTGGGAGAGCATGTGCCATGGCATGGGTGTGGTGGGCAAAGGACAACTGGCTGGTGCTTGTCTTCTACTTCTACAAGATGTGTCCCAAAAATCAAACATGGGTTGTAGGTCTTGGCAAGGAAAAAAAAAAAAGCCTTTACTCACGGAGTACTTTGAAGGCCCTTCGTTTTGTTAAAGAAAGGGTCTCTCAATGAACCTAGGGCTTGTTTTTGCCACTGGCGTTGTCTTGTTTCAGCTTCACAGCATTATGGTAGCAAACGCAAATGCACATGATGGTTTTTCATGTGGCTGCTAGCTCAGTTTATGTATGTATAAATGTATACATTTATGCGTGTGTGTGAGGATGAGAGACAAATTTCAAGAGTCTGATTTTTGTCCACCTTATTGATGCAGGATCTCTTCTATCTCCTCCTATCTTACTTTAGGAGTGCTGAGATGAGAGACGTATACACCACTACATTCAGTGTCATTATGAGGGTTCTTCTAGTGGTCTTTTTAAGACTTGGCTAGAAATGCTTTTAGCTGCCCCCTACAAGGAATTAAATATTAAAGGGAAGACGAAGCGGTAGGAAGATCACACAGTTGGTAAGGCTCTGTAAGCAAAAAGACCCGTCTCAGGTTCACATCCCCAGTATTCATTAAACCCTGGTACAGTGCCATGGGCCTATATTCCCAGCACTGCAAAGAAAGAGACAGGAGAAGGATCCTTGGAACCTAATCAACAGACTCCATGTTCAATGGGAGAGCTTGTCATAAAACACACACACACACACACACACACACACACACACACACACACGAGGGAGAGATACCCAAAATTAAACTTTGGCTTCCAAATACACAAGTACACATGGTACACTCACAAACCATATACATCTAAACTGATATGTGAATCATGAAAGAACAGAAATGAATAAAACTGAGACTATAAAATTGTTTCCATAAATTGGTAAAGGTAGTTTAGATTTTTAAGATTTATTTTAACGACTCATTTTTATTTATATGTATTTCAGTGTGTCTGTATGTATGCAAGCCAAATGTGGGGGTATCCATGGGGCCAGATGGGCGTTGGATAACGTGAAGCTAGAGCTATGTTTTTGGTTTTAAATTTTTGAAGACAAGGTCTCACTATATACCTCCTACTAACCTAGAACTGCACTACGTAGACAAGGCTGGGATTAAAGAAGTGCATACTCAGCCCCTAAAGCAGGACTTACATACAGGCAACTGAAAGCCATAGGATGTAGATGCTAGGGAACTGAATTCAGGTCCTCTAGAACACCAAGTGCTCTTATCTACTACTGAGTCATCTCTCTATGTTATTTTTAATTGTTTGCTTAAATGTGTATGTCTATGGGGGGGGGGTGCACGTTCATAAATGTAGTTGCCCTCAAAAGCTCACCTAGAGCTAGAGTTACACAGAGTTATGGCCCATTCAATGTGGATAATGGGAATGGAACAAAAATCCTTGGTAAGAGCATTATAAACTCTTTACTAAGCCATTTCTCCAGTGCCACTTAGTGCTCCCCTCTTTTAAATCTGAGGGCAGTTCAACTATTATTTTTTTAAGATTTATTTATTTATTATATATACAGTGTTCAGTCAAAATATATGCCTGCACACCAGAAAAGGGCAACAGATATGTGGCTGCTGAGAATTGAACTCAGGATCTTGGGAAGTCAGCCAGCACTCTTAACCTTTAAGCCATCTCTTCAACACCTCAATTATTACTTTCTAAGAAACTCTATAAAGAACTGTAAAAGAATTTATGATAAATGCATTAAAACATGAGCAATCCAAAATAATGACAATACATGTAATGTAAGGAGAAAAAAAAAAATCACTTTGAAAGTATTCAGTGGTGGTTCATGCTTCTAATCCCAGCACTAGGGAGGCAGAGACAAGCAGATCTCTGTGAATTTGAGGCCAGCCTGGTCTACAGAGCTAGTTCCAAGCACAGGCTCAAAAGCTACAGAGAAAACCTGTCTCAAATAAACAAAACACCAACGCCCCCCCCCCCCCCGAAAAGAGAGAGAGAGAGAGTACTACAAAAAAAAATTTAGTACTTCTAAACTGAAATTTTAGCTCCCAAATCCAGCTTCCATTCATATCTCTTTCAAAGATCCAGTTAAGAGTCAACTGCTTACACATTCTCAGGATAGAGAATTCAGTTCCACCTGGACTACACTGTATCTGCTCATCTGAATACACTATCTGAGACAAGAATTTCAGAATTTGGAATTCACTCTGATCTTTCTGTTACGGGAAATAATTTTGATATTAGTAATTATATTTAACTACAACATGATGTCATACTGAGTGAATTTAATCATGTAAAATTCTGAAAGTACTTCCCAAATAAAAAATATTGTAAAGTTAGCTATTATTCTTTAGGAACTAGTCACTATACAAATACAAAGACATCTGCATCAGTGCAGACTGACGAGAGGATTACTCTTCTTGTCTTTCATGTCTATCCTTAGGAAACACAGATTCTGGAGATTCTTACTTTCAACCCTAAACATTCAAGCTCACTGGATAATAAAAGTTACTAAGAGCCGGGCGGTGGTGGCACACGCCTTTAATCTCAGCACTCAGAAGGCAGAGGCAGGTGGATTCTGTGAGTTTGAGACCAGCCTGGTCTACAAGAGCTAGTTCCAGGACAGGCTCCAAAACCACAGAGAAACCCTGTCTCGAAAAACCAAAATAAATAAATGAATAAATAAACACATAAATAAATAAATAAATAAATAAATAAATAAATAAATAAATATAAAAGTTACTAAGCAATCAATACTGAGCTTCAAACAGCTAATATTACCTGAGTCACTTTAATGTATTATTTATTCACATTAATTACATTATGAAACGTCTTTTAGTTCCACTGAGTGGTTTAAGTGATAAAAATTACATTACAAAAGCATTACCTTTTTTCAGCTCTGACTTTCTTTCCACAATGAGAACAAGTGTACATGTTGTCCCCTTCTAAAGTGTCTTTAATAGTAACTTCATCAAGAGATTCCTGTGTATAAACCCACATTGGGAAGTTGACATAATTTACAGCATGAAATTTGGTCAGAATGCACAAAAAAAGATCAATTTCTTTTTTGAAAAAAAGTAAATTCAAATTAAATTAATTTTTCCTCTTATGAACTCTATCTCTTTTAAAATATATTCACACTTTGAAAAATTACTGGTTTGTGGTTTATCTTTAATACTTATTTAAATAGCAAAACAAGAAAGAAAATACATGAAAATAACTATTTCTTCTCAAGACAATGAATTTGTTATCAACATATACATACATAAATCATAAAACAATCTCAAGTCATGTCCGGTATCACTCACATAAATATTCTTCATATCTGCCACCTGGCACCTTACAGTATAAAACTCTTCAGCAGTCTGACTAACATGTTCACAATCCTAGATGAAGCGACAAACAAAAATTAGCAAATTGTTATAAGCTTTAAAAACCTTATAAAATAATAACAACAACAACAACAACAACAACAAAACAGATATACTTACCAAGGACACAACATTGTTTGTAATTACACCTCCAAATAGGCTTTTGACAGTATTTTTCTTTAGAATAAAACAAATCAAAGTCAGTGATTAAAATTCAAATTTGTATAAACTTTAAACAAATCTTTCAGTATTCTGGTACTAACCAGTTCTGGAGACATCTCTTCAACTTTAGTAATCAGATCTGTAAAGAACTCTGTCATATCTTTCTGCTCCCCAGTATTAAGAGGCTGCTTGTCCATGGTATATGTTTTACAGAAAGGTCTAGGGTTGTATGCTTTGCACTCACTCTCCTGAAAGAGAAGAGGGGAAGAAATATCAAATAAGAAATGGCCAATACATTCTTGAATGAACAACAACGAAGTCATATAGAGTGGAATACAACACTGATCCCAGCACTTGGAAGGTAAAGGCAGAAGGATTAGGAATTCAAGGCTGGCCTTGGCTATACAGAATCAGAAACTCCTGGGTTTACAAGAGACCCCAGCTCAAAAAGTTGAGAACAAAAACTGGAGCAGTATTCCACTATACCCAGCTAAGCAATGTTTTTCCAGGTACTCTCTTAACTTCATTTTTACTTGAGCTGAACTGCACTTTTATTTTAATGATCCTCTTATAAAAGAAGGATCAGGTTGTAGGCAAGCCTGTAGGGCATCTTCTAAATCAGTTACTGATGGGGGAGGGTCATTCCTGGGTTGTAGTCCTGGGTTTTATAAGGAAGCATGCTGAATGAGTTAGTAAGCAGCACCTTCCATGGCCTCTCCATCAACTCCTGCCTCCAGGTTTCTGCTCTGTTTGAGTTCATGTCCTGACTTCCATTAGTGATGGGCTAGAATATAGAAGTGTAAGCCAAATAAACCCTTTCCTCCTCATTGCTTTTGGTCATGGCATTTCATCACAGCAAGAGAAACTCTGTGACAATCAGTGATAGGAAAAACAACTAGAAATAAAGGACAAATTAAAAAAATAGATAACTCAGCTGTGATTGTTAAAGTCTTTATAACAAAGAAGAGAGATAACTAAAAACAAATCAATTTGAAAACAGTAAGCCTTAACAAAAACACTACAATCTTTAGTCACTAATTTAGTGGGATTTTTTTGATAAAAGATAATCTAAATAATTTTTCTTCACACTTTTCAAACATACCATTAAATATGTAAACATTTTCTGAAGCTCCAAAAGAGTGGTTTTGTGCTTCATATCTTCTGAATACTGAAAGTCAAGAAAAACTTGGTCAGAACACTAATGGTAGCATGTTGAACTTCCCAGTAGACCCACAATGGTCTCTTTATCCCTCTCTTTATCCCTTCAGCTCTATGTGAGAAAACACCTCACATATCACTCTTCATTACCATTGTGTCTTAGAAAAATCAGACTATTTTTCCATTACACTAAATACAGTGACGGCTATCATGAGGGGTAACAAAACAGCAAAAGAGAGCGAGAGCCACAGCAACAGCGACAAAGAAATCTTTTTGAAAATTGCTTTTATAAGCTTCTGTAAAGAAAAGGAAACGGTCAAGACAAAATGACAGCCTAGAGAATGGGAAAAGATCTTCACTATCCCCAGACCAGACAGAGGGCTGATCTCCAAAATAGACAAAGAACTCAAGAAATTGGGCACCAAAGGAACAAATAATCCAAATAATCTTACTAAAAACAATCTACAGATACAACACAATGCCCATAAAAATCCCTGCAAAATTCATCAAAGACCTCAAAAGAACAGTACTTGACTTCATTTGGAAAAAACAAAAAATAGCCAAAACAATAATCCTGCACAATAAAAGAACTTCTGGAGGCATCACAATCCCGACTTCAAACTCTGCTATAGAGCTACAGTACTGAAAACAGCCTGGTATTTGGATAAGAAGAGACAGGAGGACCAATGGAACCGAATAGAAGATCTGGATATCAATCCACACATCTTCGAACACCTGATCTTTGATAAAGAAGCAAAAAACATAAAATGGAAAATAGAAAGCATATTTAACAAGTGGTGCTGGCATAACTGGATATCAACATGTAGAAGAATGAAAAGAGAGGCATATCTATCACCATGCACAAAACTCAAGTCCAAATGGATCAAAGACCTCAACATAAAGCCAGCCACACTGAGCCTCATAGAAGAGAAAGTGGGAACTACACCTGAAGGCATTGGCATAGGGAACCACTTCCTAAATATAGCCCCAACAGCATAGACACTCAGAGAAACAATTAATAAATGGGACCTCCTGAAACTGAAAAGCTTCTGTAAAGCAAAGGACACGGTCAACAAGAAAAAAGGACAGCCTACAGGATGAAAAAAGATGTGTACTACTAACCCCACATCAGACAGAGGTCTGATCTCCAAAATATACAAAGAACTCAAGAAATTGGACACCAAAAGATCACATAATCCAATAAAAAAAAATGGAGTCAAGACCTAAACAGAGACCTCTCAACAGAGGAATCTAAAATGGCTTAAAGACACGTAAGGAAATGTTCAACATCCTTAGCCATCAGAGAAATGCAAATCAAAACATCTCTGAGATTCCACCTTACACCTGAAAGAATGGCCAAGATCAAAACACTGATGACAACTTATGCTGGAGAGGTTGTAGGGGAAAGGGAACACTTCTGCATTGCTAGTGGGAATGCAAGCTGGTACAGCCTCTTTGGATGTCAGTGTGGCGATTTCTCAGGAAATTCGGAAACAACCTTCCTCAAAAGACCCAGCAATATCACTTTGGGGTATATATCCAAAGGATGCTCAATCGTACCACAAGGACATGCGCTCAACTCTGTTCATAGCAGCTTTGTTTGCCATAGCCAGGACCTGGAAACAACCTAAATGCCCCTCGATTGGATCAGAAATGGATCAGAAAGATGTGGTACATTTACACAATGGAGTACTTCACAGCAGAAAAAAATAACGACAGCTTGAATTTTGCAGGAAAATGGATGGAGCTAGAAAACATTATTTTGAGTGAGGTAACCCAGACAGAGAAAGACAATTATCACATGTACTCACTCATAGGTGGTTTTTAAACATAAAGCAGAGAAAGCCAGCCTACAAATCACAATCCCAGAGAACTTAGACAACAATGCGGGCACCAAGAGAGACTTACATAGATCTAATCTACATGGGAAGTAGAAAGTAGAAAAAGACAAGATCTCCTGAGTAAATTGGGAGCATGGGAACCTTGGGGGAGGGTTGAAGGGAAAGGGGGGGAAGCAGAGAAAAATGTAGAGCTCAATAAATAAATAAAAAATGTTATGTAGATCAAAATTCAATTAAAAGGAGGAATGAATTATTTTATATTTTATTCTGTTGTGTGTTCATGTGCCTGTGGAAGCCAGAAGAGGGTATAGGATCGGTTAGAATGAGAATTACAAATAGCTATGAGCAGCCTAACATGGGTGCTGGGAACTGAACATTTGTCATTTGGAAGAACAGGAAATGATATTTATCTTTAGTCCTGAGGTTTGGTTTTTAACTGAAAAGGTTACTTAGATCTACTTAAAATAAGCACATCTTGTGTTCTTTCTGTTGTTGCTAATTACTGACAATACTAAAAGTTTAAGGTGTTCACTAATATGAACAATACTACCAAGAGGTATAACAAAGTCATGGGGGGGGGTGTGAATCACTAAAAACATGATTTTTTGGTAACTACTGCTTTCAGAAGACAATGCAGATGGGTCCAACCAATTTAGTTACAAGACTTTCTACAAAGTAAACCCATTATAGAACTACTTTTAACTATCATCAATCTATATGCACATCACATTTTGAAATCCAATATAACTAAATGTAAAAACCTAAATTCATATGAGTATAATATACATTGGATAACTTGAAGAGTAAAACAGATTAAAAGATTCAAACAAGGTTTATACCACATTATAGAAAAAGGAAAGAATACATAAAGGCCATTCACCAACAAAGTATAAAACCAGATGTAAAAACACAAAAACCACGAAGCACATGCAACTCAAAGCAGGTTCACAAACTTATTTATTTTTGGCTTGGAATAAAGGAAACAAATTCAGTTATCTAATATTACTTTGCTTGTTCGAATGTTTTATTTATTTTTATGTGATTAAAATCTGTATTCATTTTAACTGAAATACAGTATTACCTGTGCATAGTAAGCATATAAAGTCCAAGCTATGCTGCACATTGAAACAAATTATTTCCACATAATGAAACTTCACATAAGTATAAGTAAAATTAAAATACACTAAAATAGTTAGCCATGACATAATAACATTTTTATATGTCCTTGGTATTAAGGAATATATGGTTATATTAAATTAATTAATTTTTAGGAATACATATTTGGTTTACAATCTGAAACTCTACCTTAGCAGTGAAGACAGCTTGCCTTGCCTCAGGTATCATATAAAGTTGCTGAATAGTGGATGCCAAATAACAAGTAGCTCCAAGGTTAGTCAAGCCTACAAATCGGCATTCTGCACGCACATCCTCATGAGGCCAGTAGTCCCATTTATAAGGTGCATGGGCTGCTGATACAAGAGGGAAGAGAAGATGCCCCCAAACAAACTTAAACATATCTTGATTTGATTTGAAGTTACTTCCTCCATTAATTACCTAATATATATAGAATATTATAACTTAAAATATTAATTATGTAAAATTTAAAAGAACCATTAATGCTATATTTTATTTGGTATTACATTATTAGATGCAAAGAAGGTCCAATATTTAAACTATCTAAAGGTTTTCTACATTTTTTTATTTAAAACAAATGAATCCACTTTCTACATATTTTATTACACATATCAACAATGTGTGTGTAATAAAATATGTAGAAAGTGGATTCATTAAACAATACCCCTAGATTTTCAGGGTTGAGTTTCATAAAGATGCAATGAAAAGAAGAATGCTCACACTGCATGTGCTGTGCCATCACCCAGTTGTGTATTAGCCTGTAGTTCTCAACAGACCCTTTTACCATCTCTACCAACAAATCATACGCAGCGGCCCTTGAAGAGTGTGATTTGCACTTTGGCTGCCGTCGGTCCTTTAGACTGGGCAACAAAAACAGAAGATTGAAGATATCTCTTAAAAATTCCTAGGGGACAAGAAGAAAACAGGTGTTACATAACTTGAATATCAATTATATTCCAAATATAGTAACACACAAAATAAAATGGATAAGGACTAACTATAATTTACTAAAATATTAGTTCAAAGTTCATAGCACAAGTTGGACAATGTTGGCACACGCCTTTAATCTCAGCACTTGGAAGGGGACGCAGGCAGATCTCAGAGAGTTCAAGGCCAGCCTAGTGTACGGAGCAAGTTTCCAGGACAGGCTCCAAAGCTACAGGGAAACCCTTGTCTCAATTAAACAAGATAAAACAACAAAAAAAAGTTTGACAGTACTGAAAAACTTACTGTTATTTTTTTGTGAGGAAAATAGAAGGCACCCACCTTTTACTCTTCCCCCCTCTTCAAATTTCATAGTTATCCTTAATCATGTACACTACTGTTATTTTCATTTGGAAATTACCAAAAGTTTCTATTAGGCCTTGTTATTTCCTATTTGCCAAGTCCTATAGGTGTTTCTCCATCTGAGTAATAGCAAACAGCACTTCACCCACACTGAGGGACGGCCACTCCTCAAAGTCCACAGCATAAAATTCACAAACATTAAGAACCTCACTAGTTGTCAGAATTGTGGCAAATGCCACAGTTGGAATGAAAGACGTGACTTTACAACTATCTTCTTAATTTTGTGAATAGTAGAAACATGTTTTACCATGAGATGGATCTAAACGGTTTTAATGGAATCAGTTTTCAGATCTTCATTTATAACAAACTTTTCTCCTAAATTTAAACTGTGCAATGTTTTAGTTATGAATTGGAGTTGAAGACTTCATTAAGCACATTTTTAATACAGACTAAAGCACTGTATTAAAAAAAAAGAAAAAGAGGTGCTGGGGAAAAAAGACACACCCAAGAGAATGGCTATCAGCTTCTCAAAGAGGAACTCAACCAGATTATCTTTTCTTCCTTTCTTTTTGCATTTTATTTATTTGGTTTTTCGAGACAGGATTTCTCTGTAACTTTGGGGCCTGTCCTGGAACTAGCTCTGTGAGTTCAAAGCCAGCCTGGTCTAGAGAGATCCACCTGCCTTTGCCTCCCAGGTGCTAGGATTAAAGGCGTGCGACACCACCACTCGGCCAGATTGTCTTTTCTATTCATAAAAAAATTTAAAAATTTATTTTCTGAGAACTACATATCTGTATAAATATATTATGATCATAATCTTACTCCCCTCTCTACCCTAATCAATGTTTACTCATCTAGCAACATGTACCCTGCCCAATTTTATATTCTGTCTCTCTTTTCATTTTAATACACCCACTGAATCCAATAATGCTGTTCCTGTGGACATGGGTAAGGGCCATCCCTCCATCATCAGCCATCAACTTCTGAAAGTTCCTCAGCTGGGAAAGAAATCTCATATTCACTTAATCTTTTCTATTTATTTTTCCTTTGCTCTTTTATCTAATTGTCTCTTATTACCCAAACATTACCATTTAGGCCGGGGTATAATACCTCATAGAGTACTGAGCAGAAAAACTGTACTATATGAAGATGCAAGTATCATCACTCTTTAATAAGACTGCCTTTTGGCTGAAGTCTGAAAACTTGACTTGTAATATCAGACTTTGCCTAAAAGACAGAAGTGGCTCAATCAATTCTATTCTAATAAAAAATAGTCATGAGCTCATTGCTTAGGCCTGTGAGGCCTAATGAGTCAACCTGTGGTGATACTGGAAACTCAGTCACAGGGATTTAAAAAAAAAAAAAAAAAGAAAAAAAGAAAACAAAAGGACAAATATTTTCCATGTTGTCCTCTTCTTACTATTTTCAATGAATGTAAAACTTACTTTCTGGATATACAAAAAACAACAAACAAACAAACAAACAAAAAAAAAACAAAAAACAAGATTAGCTAAAAAGTATGCAAAGTGATTTGAGTTTTATTTCTTACAGATGACTTGTTTTTTGTTTATTTTAGGATTCAGAAGTGAGATTATCATCAAGGAGAAACAAAGCAACATGTTTATGTGAAGAAAACGAACATTCCAAGAGCAAATCTGAATTTGATAAAAACTGACTTTAAACAAACTACCTTTGCCAACCAACTTACATAAAAAGAAAATGAGCTCTATTGCTATAGAGATCTTGGAAAAAATATACTTAAGGCCTGGGATGAAAGTATTTTAACAGAAATACTGAGCCAGTAAATGCTTAAATGAACATTTTTATTTTCTTTATCCTGAGCCCACTAGAAAAAGTGGGTAACTAGCTGAAATAGAAGAACTCCTTCAACCTGCTACCTGAGAGAATTGTTCTGTTTGGTTTTGAGCTTTGGAGACAGGTCTCTCTATGTAGCCCTGGCTGACCTGAAACTCACTGTCTAGAGCACAAGAACCTCAAACTCAAAGTCCTACCTGTCTCTACCACCAAAGTACTCAGATTGATTAAATGTGTGTGCCACCACGGCCCTGCCTCAATATTCAAAATAATATTCGGTAAGAAACCACAATGCAATGCAGAAAAAACATACTAGCTCATGCCATTATTGCCAGCACTTAGGAGGTAGAGGTAGGGAGATCATGAGTTTAAATACATCATTACCACGGAGAATAACAAAAGTGTGGGGTTTTTTTTTCTTTCTTTTTTTTTTGGTTTTTCGAGACAGGGTTTCTCTGTGGCTTTGGTTCCTGCCTCTGCTGGGATTAAAGGCGTGCTGGGATTAAAGGCGTGCGCCACCACCGCCCAGCAACAAAAGTATTTAAAGTCAGCCTGGGTAACCTTAATTTCAAAGCAACCAAAAAAAAAAAAAAAAACCATAACTTTTCCCACTATAATTATTATTATATAAACAATATTTCTTAAATGTACATAGAGGGCCTATAACTTGTTCAGAGAGTAAAGGCATTTGCTGCCAAACCTCATCTTTTAAACTCTAGAACCAATGTGATTAATTTACTCAAACTTCATCATCAAGCTCTGGCAAACTTTGTTTGGATATATTGCTCCAAAACAACAAAACACAAACAATGTAAAAAGAAGCTTCAGTTGTATTTCATGCATGTATTTTGAAGTATACCTGTCCTTCTCTTGAAAACTTGAAAGGTGGTTTATGTTTAATAACACTTGTTGCAAGCCTTAGAAGTCCCGAAAGCCCATCATCTTCTATATGACCATCTAGGTGATCAAGGATCTCCCTACTATTAAAAAAAAGATCACAAGCAAAAGATAAAACAAAGGTATTCTTTATCATTGCTCAATAATGTAATTGTTAATTCTGTATCAGACTTTACCTGCGAATACAGTCAGCCAAATGTCTTGCCAAAGCATCTAAATCGAGGAGTGTTGTCTTAAGACAAAAAGAAAATACAAAATTCAAATAAGGCTTTTATTTTTGGTGTTAAACAGATTAGAAAAAACAAATTATTTCCTTATATGTAATAAAAGTTGTATTTTGCAAATTAAGTTATACACTCAAGGTACCTTCTTCTAAATGATATAAATTTAAAAAACAACTATCATTTTAAATGTACCATTAACAGTCCCATCAAAAAAAATTATGATAAGCAAGGAGATATGATAAGCACGACCTCTGCTTTCAGGTCTTGGGAGGCAGAGGCAGAGGCAGAGGGATCTCTATGAGTTCAAGGCCACCTGGTCTACAGGGTGAGCTCCAGGATAGTCAGAGCTACACAGACAAATCCTGTCTTAAAAAAACACACACACACCAAAGATAGATTATGATAGCCACAGCAGTAAATTATGATAAACCAGTAATCAACTGAGATCATACTAAAGCTTTTTTTAAACTACATTTATCAAGATGTAAATTATATATAGGCTAGTGATGTATAACACTGTATATTGTCCACAGTTCTAAAGGCTGTTAACATCTTTGACCTAAGCTTTAATAATAAACAACAGTTAATTTATAACTAAAGAAACAAAATAAAAAGGTTTCAAAAATAGAACTTAATCTAAGAGAGCTCTCAAAGAAACTGAAGCTCTAAGAAAAAATTACTTTGACTAGAATTAAAACTTGTTCATTAACACAAGTCAATGATAATGCCAGATTTAAAAAAAGTATTTGATCTTCACATAGTAACATAAACTTCATTTTACATATCAGGACTCTAAACTCACATGTTATAATAAAAATAAAAAGATATATAAATAAAAGCTGGGCAGTGATGATATATCCCTTTAATCCTAGCACTCAGGAGGCAGATCTCTATGAGTTTGAGACTAGCCTCGTCTACAAAGATAATTCCAAGGCAGGCTTCAAAACTACAAAGAAACTCTGCCTCAAAAAACAAAGAAAAAACAAAAAACAAAAACAAACAAACAAACATACAAACAAAGAAAAAAAAAAAGCAAAAGACAGACAGGCAGACAAACAGGCAGAAAGACACAGACACACACTAAAAAATACAAATTTCAGGGCTGGAGCCATGGCTCTGTGGTCCCCAGGACCCACAATAAGAAAGCACATCATCATCTGAAACTGAAGCTCCAGGTCCTAGAATGGTTCTCAGTATTCTAATGCTGACACTCTTTAATACAGTTCTTCATTTTGTGGTGACCCTCCCAAGCATACATATTGTTACTACTTCATAACTGTAATTTTGCTACTGTTATGGATTCGTAATATAAATATCTGATCTGTATGACTACACAAAGAGAACCAGAGCAATAGCTACTAAGCTGCCCTCTCTTGGCCTCTATGGGCACTGCACATATGCTAACAGGGATAATTTAAAAAGTAAAGAGGTTACAATACATATTTCACTTTCCAATTAAAGTTTACAAATATTAGGTTGGTCAAGAGTACTTACAGATGCTTACAAATTAAGATATACTTTAACAGTTAAAATCAAAGTGAAAATGAGAAAAAAAGTAGAGAACACAGAAGTATTAGTGTAACAGAAAAGTTAGGTCAGTATTCACTACTTACACGTTAATAAGCATGCCCTCTCCTGAAAGGACAAGTAAAACCAAGAATATCCACATGCATAACTTGGATGCATTAACAAATTAATAGGTAATTTTCTGAACATACCTGACTAGCATCCTTTATATGAATGTTGTCCACTAATTTGCATAACAACCAAAAATATTCTTTACATCCAGGTTTTAACATCGGTTCTTCTTCATAATCATCTATCTATTAAAACAAATTTTACACTTTGAAATTATTTTTAGAAATATAATGTACTTAAGCAAGTACAGGCTTTATGAAATTAAATGCCTACACAAATAAATAGTATTGAAACTCTAAGACGAATAAATCATAAAATCATAGAAAAAGGAAAATGAGACTATTAAGGTACCTAAAAGAGAAGACAACTTTAGAAAAACAATCTCAAACTTGGGGTGATGGTGCCAGTCAGAGGCTGGCAGACATCCTTCAGTTCAAATTCAGACTGGGGTTTTGAATGAAACCCCGTCTCAAAAACAAAACAAACAAAAAAAAGGAAAGGGAAAAAAAAAAACAACAACAAAAATATAAGAAAAACAATTTCCAATTTTCTAGAAAGGACACAATCAAGGAAAATATGCAAATGCTACAGTAAACAGTTTTATAAATTATTAAAAATATGGGGGCTGGAGAAATGGCTCTGTGGTTAAGAACGCTGGCTCTTTTTCCAGAATACCTGAGATCAATTCCCAGCACCCACATGGCAGCTCACAGCTGTCTGTAACTCTAGTTCAAGATCTGCCATCATCATACAGACATGCATGCAGGCAAAACACCTATACACATAAAATAAAGATAAATATTTTAAAAAACTAAATACTAGCCAGGCTGTGGTGGTGCACACCTTTAATCCCAGCATTTAGGGGGCAGAGGCAGGTGGATCTCTGTAAGTTCAAGGCCAGCCTGGTCTACAAGACATAGTTCCAAGATAGGTTCCAAAGCTACAGAGAAACCCTGTCTCAAAAAACCCAAAAACAAAACAAAAAACCCACAATATCATTAAAAATAATTTAACAGCCCTCCGAATTTATTATGTGGTGAAAACTTTTTACAAAGTTAGTGTCACACTGGGTTTATTTAAAAAAAAAAAAACAAACTCAAAATTTGAAAATATCATGAGGAATAAAAAGTAAAAAAAAAATCAAATATGTTACTAAGTCAGGAAGGAAGCTACATCATAATTTTTCAACTTGGTAGGAATAAACAGTATTTCCAAAATAGCATTCTTATGACAGACAACACCAAGCTGAAATCAAACCACATAGATGTTAGTAGATGTAATGTTGACGATAGGAAGGGTTACGATTAAACAGACAATATAGTGTGAACTTATAATGCCAGCACTTAAGAAGTGGAGAAAGGAGAACGAGAAATTCATGAGCTAACTACAAGAATACAATATACAATAATAAATTTGCAGCAAGGTAAAATTTTACCCTTAGAGGTTTGAGAGCTTGAGCATCAGGAAGGAATTTCAACAAGGTTGAGGCAGCCAAAAGAAGAAAAGATCGATGAATTGAGTCTGCTCCATCTAGGCCTGACAGAGATAACTTATAGAGACCATTGCAAGATTCATGACGAACTGCAGTCTAAAGAGGAAAAAAGGGACAATTTGAGAATTAAAAAAGCTATTCTCAGGCTAGGGATATAGCTCAAGTGATAATGAGTTTGCTTTGAATTTGATCCTCAGCATTTTACCCAGCAGGCAGTAGTGACATACCTGATGTTGCAGGCCTGCAATCCCATCAGTGGAATATTATGCTCATCTACACAGTGAATTGGAGACCACACTGTCTCAAGAATTTAATCTTATCCTAAATTGCATTATCAATCTTGAGATCAGACTGGGTTACATGAGACCTTGTTTTCAAACAGACAGACAGACAAATAAACAGAATCCCTGGGAGTGTAATACAGAAGTAGAGTAGAGGTTTCCATGTGAAAAACCTTGGGGTTGAGACTAGTCAGGAGGGATGGAAAAATATATGAACAAGAGAGAAGGGTATGTGTGTGTAGATGAAGGGAAAGAAATGGGAAAGAAAAAAGTAAAGGGGATAAAGAAATGAGAAAAGAAAAAGTAGAGGAAAGAAGGATAATTTTGTAGAAAAAAACTCTAAAAAAGTGTTTGTTTGAAATGGGGTTTCAGGTTGTCCATGGTAACCCAAAACTACTGGCCAAGAAGTTCTTATCCTTTTGTCTATACCTTCCAAGTACTGGAACTACAGGTGAGCATGATCACAAAGCCAGTTTACTTCTTTAGAAAGGTGTTTTATGTTTTGTTTAGGATTGCAGAATTTTGCATGCTACATGAATAAGAGCAAGTGATCTACTACAACAGCAACCCTAGCAACATAATGTAAATTTAATATTCTGATGATACATATGTGCATAAACAACATATAACCATACAAGGTAGTCAATGTTGTATGGCAATGTATGCTAACATCTTGTTAACAAATGCCTAATTATGGCTATAAAGCAGAAACAAATATAAAAATATACAGGAAAAATTAGGATAAAAGAAGGTTTTCATAATTATGTTATAAATTATAGGACAAAATATTTTTGGAACCAGAAACAACTTATGAAAGTATTTAAATCAGAACATTTCACAGATTCCAAGTGATCTGCCCAGATGTTACAGTGGCTACCTGGAACAGTGAGAACAGAACAAAATTTAAAAATGACAAATAGCAATGACACAGAATATATAAGTCATATTTTTAAATTAACATTCTATATCTAAGGTAAATAGGTAATGTAATAAATAATGAATATAATCATGAACATTTCTTTACCACTATGGATCTTGTTTAACAATCTTAATAATACAAAAAGTTTTAAAAGAAGCACAAATCTTTAATGTTTCACCATACCTCAGGAATAAGGAGGGTCAATTTCTTCAGCCAGTCTTGTAAATGATCACTATCAGCAAGGCTAGATTTCACTAAAGAGCAGCAATGAGCCCAGCTCACCAAGAGCCACATTGAATAATGTGAAACTAAAATAATAAATAAATAAAAGCATTATATAGGTCTGTGTTAAGAAAGACAGAGTGATCATTACTAAATACAAAATATTAAAAATTAAATTTAAAAATACAAATAATTTTGTTTAGCATTTACCTTCATGTCTAGACCTGTGATCAGACTGAGCTTTCAAAACCCTGTAAAACAAAAATATGCTATCACTACTAATTAAAACTGGCAATGAAGTAAAAAAAAATAATGACTACATATCCCTTAATGTTTATAACTTCACTCCAAATAAATTTAAAAAAATTACTACAATGATTTCACTTTTTTTTAAAAAACACTAGTAAATGAAATTCTTGGGAAAGCAACTAGATGGTCTTCAGAGGATAGGATAGAGGAGGAGAGCAGTAAAAGGGGTTGTTATCAAAGAGTAACAAACTTCAGAGAGGCATAAATTTCAAGATTTGTTGCACAGCATAATAATTACATGTCAATAAAAACACACAGATGGACGGGGCAGGTGTGGTAGTACAGTGGTGGCACATGGATTTAAACCCAGCACTTGGGAGTTCAAGGCGGTCTGGACTAAAAGTGAGTTCTAGGACAGTCAGGGCTGTTACACAAGGAATCCCTGTCTTGCAAAACCATACAAACTAAGTGAATAAATAGACAAACCAAAAGACCAAATATCAAAACAACAACAAAAAATAAACAAGGCTCATTAGTAGACTTAAAAACAAAAAGACTGAAGTACCATGCTACTGGTATTCTGTCTCTAGCAAACAGTAGCAGACTCCTGTTTAGCATATAAAAGGCCCTGGGTTAGGCCCTTAATACAAATATTACAGCACATTTCCAAATCAAATAAAAATCAAAAGACTTGTGCTGTAGGTCTGTAATTCCAGCTAATAAAAGGCTGAGGCGGGAGAATTTTGGCATTGCTAGGCTAACTTGTGGGTTCTCTCCTTCCACTACATGGGTTCTAGGAGGTCTAGTACCTTTATCTTACTTACCTCTGAACAATATTGTTGGCTCCCAAAATGAATTTTGAAAGAAATTAAAATCTCATAGATTTTTTTTAAATCAGACATGTTAATATAGTAATCAAAGAATTTTGATTATTTAGTTTAGTGGTATTTAAAAAGAATTACCATTGTGTGTATATGCTTCATTGGGTGGCAAGTGATTTTACTCACTGGGCCATCTTGCTAATTCATGTGTGTGTGTGTGCGCGTGTGCACGCGTGTGTGTAATGTAATAGTTTTTTTTTACAAAACAGGATTCTCAGATGCAGCTCTGGCCTGTGTTGACCTCACAACCCTCTTGACCTCAGGTTCCAAAGTAGTACTATAGAAATGCATCCACATACCTGGCCCTCATGTTTAGTTTCTAAAACCCATACAGACACAATACACTTACCCCTTACCTTAACAACGACCTATACGTGTCTATAATTTTCTTGTCTTTTTGTTTTTTTAAAACAGGGTTTCTCTGGAGCTTTGGAGCCTGTCCTAAATCTCGCTCTGTAGACCAGGCTGGCCTCCAACTCAGAGATCCACCTGCCTCTGCCTCCTGAGTGCTGGCGTTAAAGGTGTGCACCACTAATGTATGGCTCATCTAATTTTAATGCATTAGAAAATTTTTATTAACAGGCAAAAGGTTTGTTCTAGTTTCTTGGGTGAGGGCTTTTGAAAACATTACAGCACAGAAGTCAGACAACAGAAGAGGTCATGAGGAGTGATGTACTATGGCAGAGATAATGCACTCTCTGGAATGCATTATGTTTTGTTTTTAAGAATGATTACACCAACATTATATGTATTCTTTGTGTACAACAAAGTTCAATCCAATAAAACATGTTATGAAATATATAAAAAATTAGTTTCACATCTAACATAATTTACATGACTATATGAGGTATATAACTAGGTCTCCATATATTAGCCTACCCATTTCTATTTCATATTTTGTTTTGGAGACAGGGTTTCTCTGTGTAGACCAGGCTATCCTGGAACTCAGAGATCCACTTGCCTCTGTCTCCCAGTTCAGGGAATGCACCATCACTACACAGATGAACCCGTATCTTTATTTGAAATACTGTTAAAAAAAAAAAAATTGTGCCTTTCCAAGTTTCTAAAGTAGTCCAAATGAACAGAATGTTATTGTTTGTTCAAATCACACACAAAGAATTTATTTATATATTTGTTTGAGTTCTGTGTCCTACTGACTGTGTCCTAATGGTGTCACAGCTCACTTATTTATGTGTGAGAGAGAGAGAGAGAGAGAGAGAGAGAGAGAGAGAGAGAGAGACAGACAGACAGACAGACAGACAGAATGCATGTGCATGTATGATGCATGCTTATTCAGGTGTGGAGATCACTTTCCTCTTCTAAGGTGGGACTTATAAGGTTCAGATCCTCTAGAAGTCAAGACACTCCAGAGGCCTTCCTATCTCTGTCCACTCAGTGCTTAAGAAACAGGTGTATGTGGGCTGCCCAGACAAGTGAGTACTGAGATTGGAACACATGTCCTGATGATAAAGCAGCTAGTACTCTCAACTAATAAGTCACCTCTTCAGCTTTTGTGGTCTTATATACATTATTTCTAGTTCCGTGCATGAAAGAAACATAAATATTGAAATTACCAAACAACCACAACTTCAAGATTTTTTTCTTTTTATTTGATTATTCATTTGTTTGTTTGTTCACTCATTCATTTTTGAGGCAGGGTTTCTCTGTGTAACAGTCCTGACTGTCCTGGAACTCACTATATAGATGAGACTGGCTTTGAACCCAGATATCTACCTGCCTCTGCCTCCTTAGTGCTGAGATTAAAGGTGTGCGCTACTACATCCAGCAAAATAAACATTTCAGATTCATGAATCGAAATTAATACTAAACTAGATGAATAACAAAGAAAATTTTTCTCTTTATGTAATGGGTTGTCCAACAATAGACATTGAAGTAATACCAATAATTAGGAAAATCAACATTTAGCAAAAATTTTATTAACAATTATCTAAAAAAAATTACTAATAAAAGTACAAGGCAATTGAAGTTTTATGGTTTTATAAAAAGTAGTAGGCTTATACCTTCATAATGTCTTCACATTGACAGATTATTAAAATTAAAAATGAAATTTTTAGCCAAGAAAATAGGAATAAACCAGATTAACTTTTAAAATTAGGATCATCAATAGACTAAATGATATCATCATAATGTACTAAAAAAAAAATGCCACTTCTGGACTATTACTACTAAAAAGGAAAGACCCAAAATGAAAATGTTCTAAAACAAAACAAAAACGAGCAGAGTTGTACCTGGTTGGACATGGTTGGATTCTCAGTACTCTACAGATTGAGGCAGAAGAATTTCAAGACAGAGGCCAGGCAGACCTGGCAAGATCATGTTTCAAAATAAAAAATATCAAGCAATGATGCTGCATACCTCAGGAGGAAGAGGTAGGGGCAGGTGAACTGCTATGAGTTCCAGGACAGCCAGAGCTGTTACAGAGCTGTCTCAACAGGGAGGGAGGGGAAAGAAGAATGGCCTGTACTACTAAAATATCAATACTATAAAGAAAAGGTTAGAAACGTATCTCTACTTAAGAAAAAGGAAGAAGTATGACAACTAATAGCAAAAAATAGTTCACATGATGCTGAACCAAGAATAAATTAACAAGATAATAGGGGACTAGGGAGATGGTTCAATGGGTAACCATCGCTGCTTTGCAAGCATGAATATGTGAATTTGAATCCCAAGTAAACAAGTAAAATGAAAGGCATGGATGCACCTAGCCATTAGAGGGCAGAGACAGGCAGAGCTCCAGAATTTGTAGACAAACCAGCCTGGCTGAAAAGGTGAGTTTTTGTCTCGGTAAGATACTCTGCCTCAAAACAGTAGGATGGGGAGCAACAAAGCAAGACAGTAACACCTTGGTGGCCTATGCATGAACTTACCCATATTATCAAGGGTTTCACGATTTGGTTTATGGTAGAATGTTTGTCTGATGCCTAGCACTATTTTTTTTTTTAAAACAAACAAACATATCAATGTTTAATTTCTTAAAAATTTATTTGTGTGTGTGCACATGTTCATGGAAGCCAGAAGAGGTTATCATATCCCTGGACTTAGATTACAGGCAATTGTGAATGTCTAAGTGTGGATGTTGGAATCAAATTCCAGTCTTCCACAATAACTGTATATACTCTTAACAACTGAGTTATCTCTCCAAAGCCAATGCTGGATTACATAAATTAATTTGGTTTTACTCAGGGTTAGACAGATGGCTCAGTGGTTAAGAGCACTTGGTACTCTTTCACAGGCAGTGTGGACAAATATCAGGCAACTTACAACCACCTGTAATTTCAGCTCCAAGAGATTAGACGTATTCTTCAGATCTCTGCTGACCCCAACACTCACTAGTGTACACACACACACAAATCTAGATATTAAGAACATATCCTTAATTTTAAGAAACAAGTATCAAAGTATTTTAGTTAGTCATACTATCTAGACCTTACATTCATAAACTTCCTTAGAATTTACAAACACAGAAATGCTCAGGAATACATAAGTTTGACAATTCCCCCCCCCCCCCCCCC